CTTTTTCTCCTCTTCATCACCTCCTTTCCTCTTTTCCCTCCTTTTCTCCCCTTCTCTTCCTCCTCTCTTCCTCTCCCGCCCCTCCCTTGCTTCTCCCTCCTCATCTCCGCCGCCACTCTCCTCCCTCCCCTCCTCCTCTCCCCCGCCCCTCTCCTCCCTCCCTCCCTCCTCTCCTCCCTCCCTCTCCTCTCCCCCTCCTTCCCTCCTCCTCTCCATCCCTCCCTCCCCTCCTCTCCCGCCCTGCTCCTCCCTCCCTCCTCCTCTCCTCCCCTCCCTCCCCTCCTCCTCTCCCCCCGCCCCTCTCCCCCGCCCCTCTCCTCCTCCCTCCTCCTCTCTCCCTCCCTCCCTCCTCTCGCCTCCCCCCTCCTCCCCCGCCCCTCTCCTCCCTCCTCCTCCACTCCTCCCTCCCATCCCTCCTCCCTCCCTCCCTCCTCCTCCTCCCTCCCTCCCTCCTTCCTCTCCCCTCCCTATCCCTCCCTCCTCCTCCTCATCCCTCGCCTCNTTTATGACGGTTCGGTAACAGGATTTTGGGCATTTCGGTAACCGGATTTATGATGTTTTGGTAACCGGATTTATGATGTTTCGTTAAGCGGATTGACGGCGGTTCGTTAAACGGATTTAGGACGGTTCGGTAACCGGATTTATGGTCGTTTCGTTAACCGGATTTTCGACGTTTCGGTTAACCGGATTGACGACGTTTCGTTAACCGGATTGACGACGTTTCGTTAACCGGATTGACGGCGTTTCGTTAACCGGATTGACGACGTTTCGTTAACCGGATTGACGGCGTTTCGTTAACCGGATTCGAGACGGCCCTGCGGGGGTCGCCCTCAGGCCTCGCAGACAAACTTGCTTTCCTCCCCGAGATAAGGTCGGAGAGATGACGTCACGGGCTCGCGTTCTGGCCCTCCCGCCGCCGCGGGTCAAGGGGAGTGGCAAGCGTCGGCGGAAGGGAGGAGGGACATGGCCGGTTGGGGAAAGCGGTTTTCGGGTGGAGAGGGGGAGGGGAGGGGGAGAGGGAGGGGTGAGAGGGAGGGGGAGGGGAGGGAAGGGAGGGAGTGGGGAGGGGGAGGGGAGTGTGAGAGGGGGGGGGAGTGGGAGAAGGAGGGGAGGAGGGGGAGAGGGAGGAGGATGGCGGACAGGGACAGCGAGAGAGATTACGGATTGACCGACGTGCTCGTTAACCGGATTCGAGATCAGCCCTCAGCCTCCCGCAGACAACTTGCTTTCGCCTCCCGAGATAAGAGTCGGAGAGATGACGTCACCGGGCTCGCGTTCTGGCCCTTCCCGCCCGCCCGGTCAAGGGCAGTAGCCTGCGTCGGGAAGGAGAGGAGGACATGGCGGTGGGAAAGCGTTTTCGGGGGGAGAGGGGGAGGGGGAGTGGGAGAAGAGGGGAGAGGGAGGGGAGGGGAGGGGGAAGGGGAGGGGAGTGGGGAGGGGAGGGGAGTGGGAGAGGGGGAGAGGGGAGTGGGAGAAGGAGGGGGAGGAGGNAAAAATTTTTTTTAAAAAAAAAAATTTTTTAATTTTTAAAAATTTATAATCATTAAATTAAAAACTATTACTAATCATTAAATTATCATTATTTAATTATTCTTTTATTATCTTCTTATCATTTCTATCATTTCCATCATCATCATGCCCATTATCATTCTTACTCCGTACGGGTTCTACTTCCTTTTACTCTACCTCCGGGCTCCTCATTAAATATTCAACATAAAAGTTCTTTCCAATTTCAATATAAATGCGTCTACTGTGAGAAGATGTAAAGATCATGAATAATTTTGCTGACTTTCAATTATTTTAGGTTGGTTTGTAGTTTGGGTTTTGGGGGCATCTCTGTGTCTATTTGTGTCTATTTATCTCTATTTCTTGTTATTTCTGTCTCTTCTTTCTCTTTTTGTCTATCTGTCTATCTCTGTCTCTGTTTTTCTAACTATCTTTATTTCTAATTTTCTTTTCTCGCTTTCTCTGTCTGTCTGTCTCTCTCTCTCTCTCTCTCTCTCTCTCTCTCTCTCTCTCTCTCTCTCTCTCTCTCTCTCTCTCTCTCTCTCTCTCTCTTCTCTCTCTCTCTCTCTCTCTCTCTCTCTCTCTCTCTCTCTCTCTCTCTCTCTCTCTCTCTCTCTCTCTCTCTCTCTCTCTCTCTCTCTCTCTCTCTCTCTCTCTCTCTCTCTTTCTTTTCTTTCTCTCGCTCTATCTGTCTATCAGTCTATTTATCTATCTCTCTATCAGTCTGTCGGTCTTCACTTTTCTCTCACACTCCTCCCCTCTTCTTTCTCTCCCCACCCCCTCCACCCTCCGATCTTTCTCTAATCGCTCTCCTTATTAACCATTTTCATCCTTACACAAAATTCCCCTCTTCCCAGTCTCCATACCCCCCTATCTCCCTCCCTATCTACCCCCTCCCTCTCCCCCCACCCCTTTATTCCCTCCCCTTCTCCTCTTCCCTTTTATCTATCTCTTTTTCTCAGCATCGACGAGGTCAAGTTTACTTTACCTCGGG